TGTGTGTGTGTGTGTGTGTGTGTGTGTGTGTGTGTGTGTGCGTGTGCATGTAGGACGGAGGGTAGGGATAAAATAGTAGGACGCATCGCCTGACAAAGTGTTTTTGAAAGGGTCAGGATTAGGTCGGAGTTGTCCTATGACACAGTAATTATTTAGTCCTATTGATTCATCTTTCTAAAGGAACACCAACTAAAACGAAGTTGTAGCTGCAACAACAGCAGTAGCAGTAGCAGTAGCAGCATCAGTAGCAGCAGCAGCAGCAGCAGCAGCAGCAGCAGCAGTAGCAGCAGCAATAGCAACAGCAATACTACAGCAATAGATATGATTAGTATCGTATATCTATTAATAAATGTTTGGATTGTGTAATCGGCACGAGTTCGCTCTTCAAAAATTCCAGATAGCGTGAATTAAGAAATACCCGTTGTGAAGTCTACGTTTTTATTGACGTAAGGCTGCGAGCCTACGTCAACGTGCGCAAAGTCAAACTATTTTCAATCTGTGTGGGTTTTTTAAATCTTACCACACACGACACTTCAAAGATTGTATTTCATCCTACTGAGATTACAAACGCCTTGACTCATAATTCTGTTCACATTGCCTCAGCAATGCGTACTATTTTTATTCGCAAGATGTCATGAAAAAGAAAATTCCGTTATCAGTCAGCACACAAAGGCGCGAGTAGAGAATAAATCTAGCACTTTCATTGGTGGAGAGAAAGCGTATGATTTACGTCAGGAAACCTCAGCACTAAAAATAGCGAAATCACATGGCTTTGTTGATATTCGTCAGCGTGCGGCTCGCGGCGGGCAAGCCCCCCAACCATTGAGAGAGACAGCAGACGAGACACGCCGCTTGGCTGCTTGCGACTTTGCGAGAGGAGAGGTTCATTCACTAGCGGGGCCACCGCACCAACAACACAAGTCTTCAGCAGACGGCTCGACACAGTTCACAGTTCACATCGCGCCCGCCTGCCAGCCAGCCACAGCCAGCCAACAGACCGAATCGCGAACGCCTACCCTTCTTTCTTTCCTCGCGACATTTTTGGGCGACCGTGCAAAAAGAGCACCCAGTGATTGTATGCAACATTCCTCGTGATTCGCTTGAAAGGGCCAGACACGCGCTTTGCCTAGCCTACAGCAGACGGATTTATTCATCATACAACGTGGGCTGAGGATCACTTACCTTCGTAGTTTCCCCGATTACGCACTCAGTTACTATAAGGACAGTCGACCGAGGTGTGCTCTTTTGATTCGATCTGGACAAATCTACAGTAGTGTAAGTGTATTATTATTATTATTAGGTCTATCATTATTCTATTATTATTATTATTA